AAAATAAAATGACTGAATGCTAATGTTCAAGAGTTTACTGCCTGTGTTTTTTTCAAGGAGTTTTCTTGTTTCAGGTCTTATATGTAGGTCTTTAGTCAATTTTAAGTTTATTTTTGTGTTAATTTTGTGTAAAATTAAGTTAATTTTAAGTTAATTTTATTCTTTTGCATGTAGCTGTCCCATTTTCCCAACACCATTTATTGAAGAGACTGTCTTTTCTCCATTACATATCCTTGCTTCCTTTGTCATACAATAATTTACTATATAGGTGTGGGTCTATTTCTAGGTTCTGTTTTCTCTTCCATTGGTTTGTATATCTCTTTTTGTGCCAGTACCACAGTGTTTTGGTTACTATAGCTTTGTGGTATAGTTTGAAATTAGGGCAAATATATATATATATATATGTATGTATATGACTGACCAAATATGTATTTCTTTTTAATTATTAAAGTATCATTGATACACAATCTTATGTTGGTTTCAAATATAACACAGTGGTTCACAAATATGTATTTCTTACAACTGATTATATTGCATCTAGTTCCAGAACCCAAGGTACTGTTATACTAAACTTGGTGAAAATGAGACGCTAGCTCAGCACAAATACAGTTTTATTACTAGACAAAAAACAGTAGTGGGATCACTGGTGGAAATTTATTTGAAAAACAGGAAATGTGTTCCTTTCCAAGGTCACCTATTTCTTCCTTCTTTACCTTATTCCTCAGGCAACTTCCCATCTCCACCACCACACCCACACACGTTTTATAGTCCACTTCTCTATATTACAGATGGTATAGGTGGTAGAAACAGAGAAGGTTGTGGAATCTGCTCATTTAACATCTCCTTTTCCAGGCTGTCACTCTCATTCAGGTGATCACACAGAAATGTTGTCAGTATCAAGGATGGACAGAGTCAGGTCTAAGACAGGCCAAAGATTCCCAAGCAAAGTAAATTCTTGATTGCAGCAAGAATGACCTTGTGAGATATGTGTCCTGCCATTTTAGACCCCCACCCAGTTAAGCTATTTTTTTCTATTTTATAGAACCAGAATATGAGGGAGCTGTATCCCTAACATCTTGGATTTATCTCTACTCTCATTTTAAGGCAGCAGAAAGAGCTGCCAGACTTTGGAGACAAAAGACAGGGATTCAAATCACAGGCTTAAGCACTTCCTGACTGCAGCCTTTTACAAGTCACTCATTTCCACCCCCTTCCCAATCCTGCTCCCTCAACTAGTATACATGTCATTACATGCCTTTTAAAAGTTAGGATTAGAACTAGAATTTGGGAAACTTGCTACAGACCATAAGCCAAAAAGAAGGACAGTGGTTTCCAGGCATGTTTGGGTGGTATAAACCAAAAGCAGATTAATCTACTAATTCCTTGAGGGCTGGAACCTATGCCTTATACTACATGCATACCCTGCAGCTCATACTTGGCACAACACCCCTGTAATACTAACATTCATTGAATGCTTGCTGTCTGTAGAACTTTTCTCTTTTATGTGCATCCTGTTTAAACCGCCGAATCACCTATGAAGCAGGCATTATCATTCATAGTTTATAGGTGACATAACCACAGCATCAAGCAAATCTTCCAAGATCAGGATGCAGATTTCAGTGTCTCTGATCCATCTTTTTAATTATAACATATTGTCCCCCAGTAAAAATAGTTGCCTTCTTTTGGTTTAATTTTTTTTACCAAATATTTATTGAACCTTAATTTGTGCAAGCTACCATGCTAGATTCGGGGTTTATACTAAGATGTATGTAACCCAATTCTATATAAGCAGCTACATGGGTAACTGTGATAGGAGGTGGAACGTGATATATCTCATAATTAATGAACAAGTGAAGGGTTCTGGGTTTCCCATCTTGTAATGGGAGCAAATATGATACATCTCATAATTAATGAACAAGTGAAGGCAAGATCACATCTAATTGGTGCAAATCATCCAGGCCTCAGGAAGGAAGGGGGTGTTTGCATGGAGCCGTGAGGGCTGCACTACTACTGCATACACTCAGTGAAACTTGAATTACTATAACAAATAGTAATCTTAGTTACTATTACTTTTTCTAACCATCCATTGTTACTCATTGCTTATTCTGTCTTACCATCTATTGCTACCCTTTGAAATTGAACCTTGAATCAAAAAGAAGAAAACAATTACCCGCAGACTCCATAATTTCCTCTCATTTTTTCAATTGGATAGATATAGCTTGTGATTAGAGCCCAACTCTTATACACCACTTACTAGCTGTGCAATTTTGGGAAGTTAACTTCTGTAGGCCTCAGTTCTTTCAACTATAAAATGGCGATAGTATATGCCTCATAAGTGTTTTTCTGTGGATTTAATGGGATTTTATATGTTAAGTGCTTAGTTGAGTGCTTGGAACGCAAGTATTTAATCAGTAAATGACAGTCATTATTAACAGATGCTGTAACTATCTATGTAGATACGGCCAGATAAATATGAGTGGTACACATTTTTTTTGAACATTAGAACATTGATATTGGCTATAAATTTTAGAATTAGCAGTTCTTACTACTTAAAAGCTCTCAAATGCAGAAATTCAGTTCCAGTTATTGAAGGTGTATTCAGTTGAGCCGTGAGAGGTAGTTAAGAACTTTTCATCCTGAACTGTTGGTTTTGTATCTCCTCATTGTCCACGTTGCAGTTAATGCAGTATTTTGATTGGGTAGAAAAACAACCCAGGAAGAACAGTATGATTCTGCAGAGTCTACAGTAGACCTTGCTTCTCAATGACAAATGTTCCATTTCACTCAGCCATGAATTTTCTGTATTAGTCTACCATGAATATTTTTTTACTTTGGTTGATTTTTAGTTGCTATAGCTGAAGGATGGGATGATCTATACTAGAGGACCTTGATCAGAAATACTCAGGAAAACAAAAAGCTACTTGATTAGGTGGGTGATTATTTTCTTTAATTTAGTAATTTAAACATTAAATGTTACACATTATAAAGGGAAAAAAATTCACTGGTGAAATTTGCCTTTGGAGACTTTTTTTTCTGGTGCCTACTGGGAATGGGATAAACTAGACTTTAGTTGTATATGACTAAAGAGTTGGTTGGCCTTTTTATTTTTAGTTACCACATGATAAACTAGGTCTAAGCTGAAAAGTAATTTAGGTTAGGTAAGGGAAAAATTCTATTATATTTCCTCTTATAATGGGAGCATTTTTTTGGTCTCAATCACACAGTGGGTATAAATATGTGGAAATGAATCTATAGATGTAAATATTAACTTCTTAGAAGTGGGATTTTTAATACTTTTTTAATTAATATATTTAGAAGTGAGTTTTAAAGAATAAACCATTTTAAAAGAAGGAACTGTGGACTCAAGTAATTAAAATACTTGAGGATGTTCAGAAAATCATTCATTCAGTATTTCTGTTATCTGGCATGGTATAAGGACCACTTCATTCCTTAGTTAAAACTAGAATCTGCATGGGGCACAAACCTTCTATAGTTTATAAAATCTGAGATAAATTGTACTAAGAAAATGGACTGAATTCATTTAAATATGGGTTCTTTACACTGTAACGTTAGAATCATAATGGTCTAATGGTCAAACTTAGTTACTATAGCGTAAGGAAACAGTTGGTAGATGTTTAGGGAACCCATATGGGAAAACAAACAGCAGCAAACAAACATCCAGGGGTCCTGTAAGCACAGGCACACTACACCTGGGACCTGTATACTTGGGGAATTATTCCCAGCTGGCTCCCACTTTGACTTGGCCCCAAGCTCTTTGAATGAAGAAATGTTGAGACCAAGAATTAAAATTATGGTTGGATCTATTTGATACAGATCCAACTCCTCAGAGTAGGGAGACAAACCCGACTACCCCAAGGTGTTAGCAGTGTTTTTAGCATCTTCCTTGTTCTACATGAAAATAATATAATACCTAGTTAAACTCCTTTTCTTTTTCATCAAAATGCTGAATCTGCTTTTGCTCATATTTAATAACATTGAATTTTGGTTTACTAACCTCAGGTCATATGCACAAAGGAGGATGTAGATCAGCCTTTTATAATTTACCTGGCAGTAGTGCACTTTTTAAAATCTGATGCTGTGTGTTAATTTTCCTTTGTTTTTAATAGGTTAAAAAATATTCTATTTTGTAATGATGCATGACTCATTCGTTGCTGATCATCTTCCCACTGATATTTTTTTTTTGCCTTGATCCAGCAAGAAAGTCTTACATGAGAGGAGGGAGAAAAAGAGACAGAGTTGAGGAATATAATACTTGAATACTGTTCCTGGATTTTCATTGGTTATTTCCTTTCTTACGGTGGCCAGTCTAATCCAGCCTTCCTTGTCAAATCCCCCCCTTCCCCACCTCCCCTGCTAGGGGCTTCACAGGGTGTCTGCTGCTAGAAACTGACTGCAGGCAGCATGTAGGCACTTTCATTCAGAATGCACATTAATATGTTGAATAGAGAAGAAAGCTTTTAGAAATGTATCATTTGTCAAAATTGCATGGCTTCTACAAAGGGATAGAGAAATGCTGAATGTTTTGTATGTTAGCATCGACTCTTTCTATTCAGACTCAAGTTTTCAGAAGCTTAAATATAGAGCCCTTTAAAAAAAAAAGGAAGAAGGAAGAATTTTTCTGGTTAGTCGACCTCTTTTTAAGAAGTGCTTCATCATCCTCCTCCACCTTTCTCTGCTGTTTCTCTGCAGCTCTCTGTAGGTTAGGGTTCTGTGCCGGTTGGCAGAATGCTCATTTGTTAGCTGAATAGAATTCATCGACAGACATAGATCAATAAAGGTTTTATTTCTTTCCTGTGAATTGCAAAATGCCATCCAAAGAGTCTTGGTCGGGAAGGAAAACTAATAGAGCTTCAGTTCACAAATCAAAACAAGAAGGCCGTCAACAAGATTTATTGATAGCAGCCTTGGGAATGAAACTGGGTTCTCAAAAGTCGTCTGTGACAATCTGGCAACCTCTGAAACTCTTTGCTTATTCGCAGTTGACATCACTTGTTAGAAGAGCAACTCTGAAAGAAAATGAGCAAATTCCAAAATATGAAAAGGTTCACAATTTCAAGGTAAGAGGACTTGTTTCTAATATACCTTTTCTTATAAGGAAGGAAATGCACATTACTTGAAAGATACAATACTAAAGGAATGTCTTCTGATGTCTTTTTAAAACTAGGGTGACTGGACTAAAATGTTATTGTTATTTAAGGAATGAAGATGTTTTAAGCATGATTTTATTTAAGAAACAGCTGAATAAAGCTAATAGAATCCAATCCCATTTTCTCTCATGCTGATTTAGTATTCTGTTTAACCATGTATATTTAATGATAAAAGTCTTGTCTCATATTTAAAGGTCTTATTTAATAATGATTTCGGTGTTATTTTTATTTGTGATGCAAATATGTCTAACTACATTTGTCGGACATTTCATGAGAGGATTAGATCTTACCTCTGCTCATTGCTGATGAAAAGCTTTGGCTGTAAGAGATGTGCCATTGCATCTGGATTAAGGAGATGGTCTGCATTTCCCACAGTTTCTGTCCTTTTTCCCCTGTTAATGAATTGACCTGATTAAAGGAGGTGGCTACCAGGGGACTGTTGATGCTGCTGAGAAGCAGCTTCTCTTCACTTTTTGACTGTTTGTTTTCATCTTGTGTGTGTGTAGTTTTCATTAATGTTAATGTGTTTTACCAACTATACTTTAATCATCTTTCATTAAGGTGATGTGTGTGTTGATTCAAGCTGTGTATAGATTTTGCCTATATTTATAGCATGATGTAAGGCCTTGAAGTTCAGTCCTTTGCACCCTAATTCAGAGAACATACCATATGAGGCCGTGCCTAAGGAGACCCAGGTACACTGAGTGGATTGTGGGCTAGCATTTCTTTAGTAACTTCCTAATAGTTATACAACTTTATGAAGAAGTTCTTGAGACATAAATATTCATAATTTAGATAAAATGTCATTAGTTTTAATGTGAGGGGAGTATCTGGTTTCAAAAGACAAGGCTGGAAATTGATCTTCATTAATTTATTTAATGTTTATTCAGCAGATAGACTACACCATGCTCTAGTAGGAAATTTCATTCCAAATTTACAATTCATCCTGATTTTTAACACTAGCATTTATTTTACTCAAATACTAAATACCAAGTTCCCAGTGCACTCTGCTTTCTCCATAATGAGGAATAGATTTTTATGGTCTTCGTATCATTTTGGGATAAACAGTAAATTCTAAAATGTATGGGATATGTAAAGATTGCTAACTAGGTAAACCAAGAAGCATTTTCTTCTCTTTAAACATATCATTAAGAATCTTATCTTTGAACAGTATCTTTGATTTAAAATGAAATTGAGACCATTCAGTAAGTGCATCCAGTCTCAACCACATCTTCCATTTATGAACCTAAATAATACATGCAGATTACTAGCCTCAGTTTCTTGAGAGACATACAACCTGGTCTTGTAGGATTTTTATCAGAAAATAACCCCAAATATATACTTTTGCAAATATAAAAGTTATGTGGATGTTAAGTCCCCCAAATAGCCATTTTAGTTCCTAAGCAAGAAACCATGCATACTGTGTAGAAATTATATTTTTAAACATTTCTCCAAAGATGTACCCTCTGGTGTGTTCAGCAGAACAGATTGACCTATTAAGGATGTTAGTTTAATACTAAGTTCATTATACATGCTTTGTATCAATACAGTTAAAAACAAATAATAGGTCTGCTCAAGGATTTGAATAAACGGGCACATTCACTTACTTGTTGTTCTATCTTCCCGTAATTTCACAATTTTAGTTTAACACACAGCTTTAATGAGCAAATTTTGTACAGCCAGAAAGTGCTGACTGAGGGAGCAATTGTGACTCGAGTCTGGTACCAAACTGTTCTAAAGATACTTGTCTTTAAAGAGCACATTAAAAAGTAGAAGTCTGCTTCCTTCTCTGGAGCTAAAAAATTAAAACCAGCTTGAACTTACTGTTTTGAAAAAAAATGTGTTCAGGAAAGAGCTCATGTCAGTAAGTTACATTACATATTTTTATGATTGCTAATAAGGTCAGAAGTCTCAGAATTTGACTCTTCCTGTTGAAATTACTCTTTGCTATTTAAAAAATGTTTCTTCGGGACAGCATTATAAGGAAGAGAAAAGAAAGAGTTGTGGAGGGACTTTGGACAACCATAAAAGAATCCAGACCCTGTGGCAGAAGCAGTTCTCTCCTACACGGGTGTTCCTTAGAAGGTCACTGCTTGTGATATGTCCGTGTATATAGTTCAGATTCATTGTGGGGAAAACACTGAGCATTTACATGATGATCATTCATGTGGCCTTGCCACTGGCTGCTCCCCGTGTTTGTACAAGTGCCTTCTGCCTGGTCAGAAGCCCACTCACCAAAGCTTGATTTCAGCCAGGTTTTTTTTTTGCTTCTTGAACTGCCTTGTTATGTAACATTGCTCTGTGGTGTAGAACAGCTTCCAAATCTCACTTCAGAAGATGAAACTAGAGTGTCTTATACCATGGGTGAAAACACTTACCAAGGTGAAATAATTTAAAAAATCAACTGGGTCTAACTCCAGACAGGTAGTTTATTTGTTTTCTTTGTTTTTTTTTCTTAACTCGAGAAACAGAACAGGAAGGCTTCCCATTTTGCTGTTATGTAACCTGGTCCTTTTTTTTTTTTTTCTTTTTTTTGTTAAAAGAATTTGATAAAGAATCTATCACAAGAAAGATAATTCTCTCAGTGAGGTCATCATTTTAAAAATGTAACGCATCCTTTGAAACAGTTACTGTTAAAAGTTGTTAACATAACTTAGAGCAAAAATAATTTTAACTGTCTCCTGGATCAACCTCTCATCCTAAGAGCTGCCCTCATCCTGACACAATGAGGGTGGGGAGAGGGGGGAGAAACTAATTTCTTGAGCACACTTAAAAAAAACAAAAACTGAACAAAAACCCCCTGACGCTAAAAGTAAGAGCAAGGCGCTCAGCCCACAGCAGTGGCGTTACACATCTGAGGCTGTCTGGAGAGAATGGCACTGGAGAGCAGCCCTGGTCCTTGGGCGCTTGCTTGTTATGTGTGTGACCTTGGGCACTGCCTCATCTCTCTAAACCTCTGATTCTACGTCAGAAAAATTGAATTCCTGGTGTGTGTAGGTACATCATAGCCACTATTTTTGTTACTGATTGCCCCTAAGAGGGTATTTTTTTTCTGAACTCATACCCAGACTGTTTTTCTTGCCCAGTTGCAGAGGTCATAAGGCAATTGAGAACCCCGGCATCGTTGTGGGGGGCTAAAGAAAGCTCTTCTTCCTTAGCGCCCGGGCAGAGTTAGACGTTACATAAGAGCAGTTGCACTTCCATGCACCACAGAATACAGTTAAAAGCCTCTGTATTTCTCTTACTCCCTCCAAATGTTGTAAGTATTCAGTGTTTCATTTGGTATGTTTAATTCGAATAGCTTTACAAAGTAAAATCAAAACTGCATATAATAATTATAGAAACTGAAACCTGGCTACTTAGACAAATTAAATAATTAAAACATTAATAATTATAGTGAGTAGATACTTTAAAATATGAGTTTAGTTCTTTTTTAAGGTAGTCTTGAAGTGGTGACGATGATTTTGGAGGTTTAGATTTTTGCATTCTGCATATGAATGAAAGATATATATGATATTAATAGATTTATTGTTGCCAAGATAAAATATGTAACAATGAAACCTGAAATGTGAATTGATACCATAATTAAAATAACACTACAACATGAACCTTATAATATTTAGTAAAGTTACTGATTCAAGACCTATTGGGATAAAGTGATAATTGTGAACCTGTCATTCCTGGCCAATAGATCAGACATTCTGTGTTTGAATAATGGCCAGTGTTCCTGCTCAAAGTGGTCTTGCCTTCAAAGCATACAGACAAACCCAAGACCTATCATCTTTAATTGAGTCACATTTGAAAATAAAAACAAAGTGAACCAACAAATAAAAATATTTAGTGTGAAATGTAGAGCTAAACTACATGATCTATAAATTCTCTTCCAGCTCTAAAATGCTCTGATTAAATCATGTTGGGAAGCATTAGATTTGTTAATAAAACTTTTCCATTATTAAAACTTTATTAAGGCCCTTATAGAGACAAATTTACAATATGTTGATTTTTTTAAAAGGATTAAGATAGGCTATATATGAAAGTGTATTTTTTAGAACTAGTTATATTTATACTCAATGGAGTACTGTAACCAAGGACCATGCCTGCCACCTTTAAGTACTACCCCCACCAACCTCCACAGTGCCACCTCCCCACTCTTCTCCCTCCATTCTTCCTTCCCTTGTCCCCATACCTAAGAAAATGTTTTGTGGACACTCATGATGTGGGGGATCTTTGTTGTGATGGTGGTTGTGGTTATTATTTTGAAACCAGTTCTCATGGCAGCAGAAATTTCAACACAGAAATGAACTCTTATAATGATCTTAAGAACTGAATTTTTTTTAATGAAATTCATGTGAGTTTTTAAAATGAAATAAAACCCACAATACCAGCATGTCTTATGTTGACTGGAGAAACTGTTTTCACATTTTAAGTGCTAAAAAATTTGAGTTGTTATGAATTAGTGGTAATATAAAAGAAGTGAAATGCAGTATGACAAAATGGAAAAGGCAACCTGGACTCTATCATTATTAAGCTTCAGTAATAATGTTACTTATTATTGCCTCTCCTGTGGATAGGAACATGGAGTGTCCAACAAACTTTTTAAAGGAATGTTTTCTCTAAATACATGCTTAGATTGAATTGTATATATTTTTATATTACATGTATACACACACAATTCCCAGTTTTTAAGGTGGGTCACTTGCAAGTGAAGATAAAATAGCAAAAATCAATGCATCAGGGGTTCTCTGTCCCTAGGACAGTAAGACTTATCGAGAGCTGATGGAGAGAAAGCAGGACATTATGCAAGGTCCTCTGTAAGGTCTCTGTGGGCATTGTGTTTCTGTTGCTATTTGGTATAGTACTTATCAGATGGTGTGGAAGCCAGAAATAAATACACATTACTGTTCTTTACTGCTGCCTCTGCTGATGGTGAGGACCACAAACACTCCTTGTGCACCTCCATCCTTGTTTCTCCACTGCCCATCAGCATTCTGGCCCTCTCAACCTCAGCCCCGTCTATGCTTTCTATGGTTTGTCATGTTGGCTGGGGAACTAATTATGACACTGAGTACAAATCTAGGTCATAAGGTCATTGGAAAGTTTACTGACTGACATTAAGAAACATTTCATAAGGTTTGCACACATACTACTTCTTAGCCTTTTAATAAGGTTAGGGAATTTAAAATGCTATATGTACCTCAAGAGAAACCCATGATTTTGTGGATTGAAAGAATTAGTATTACTAAACTGTCCATACTACCCAAATGGACCTATAGAGTCAATGCAATTCCTATCAAAGCCCCAATGGAATTCGTTATAGAAGTAGAAAAAGTAATCCTAAAATTCATGTGGAACCATAAGAGACCCCAAATGCCAAAGCAGTCTTGAGCAAAAA